CCCTCCCAGTTCCCTCCCAGTCCCTCCCAGTTCCCTCCCAGTCCCTCCCAGTCCCTCCCAGTCCCTCCCAGTCCCTCCCAGTTCATCCCAGTAACCCTCCCACCCCCCAGACCTCCCAGCGCTCCGAGCTCCGCGAGACGGCCTCCGATTGGCTGCCGGAGGTGGGCGTGGCCATGGCGCGGGTGGGCGTGGCCGGCACCGGGGGGGGCGTGGCCTTCCCGCCCCGCCTCTTCCGCCGCCTCCTCCCCTCCCTATTGGCCGCCCTGGCCGACCCCGCCCACCCGGGGGCGCGGTCCTGGGCGGGGGCCGTGATTGGCCAGCTGGGCGGCGCCCTGGGCCCCGAGGCCACGCCCTTCCTGCCCGACCTGGGCCCCGCCTTCCGATTGGCCGCCGCCGACGCCGACCCCGAGGTCAGGGCCAACGCCTTCTACGCCATTGGCCGGATCGGCGAGGCCGCCGGACACGCCCACCTGGAGTATCCGCCAATGGGGAGGCGGGGGGAGGGGCTTGGGGGGCCCTGAACCCCTCCCGCCATCTTTAAGCCACGCCCACATCCCATTAAGCCCCGCCCACTTTTCATTAATGAGCTTTAAGCCCCGCCCACAATCACATAAGCCCCGCCCACAATCACATAAGCCCCGCCCACTTTCCCTTAATGAGCTTTGAACCCCGCCCATAATCACTTAAGCCCCGCCCATATTTTCTTAATGAGATTCAAACCCCGCCCACATTCCCTTCAGCCACGCCCACAATCCTTTAAGCCACGCCCACATTTTTAATGAGCTCTAAGCCCCGCCCACATTCCCTTAAAAGGCTCAACGCCCCGCCCACAATCCCTTAAGCCCCGCCCACTTTTCATTAAATTCTTAAACCCCGCCCACATTAAATTAAAATACTTTAAGCCACGCCCACACACGTTTAAGCCACGCCCACATTCTCTTAAGCCCCGCCCCCTTGTCAATCAACCCCAAAGCCACGCCCCCAATCCCTTTATAAGCTGCAGCCCCGCCCCCTTGCCAATCAACCCCAAAGCTCCGCCCACATTCCTTTAATGAGCTCTAAGCCCCGCCCCCTTTCCCCTAAGCCCCGCCCACATTCTTTTAATGAGCGCTAAGCCCCGCCCCCTTATCAATCAATTCCAAAGCCCCGCCCACATTACTTAAATGAGCTCTAAGCCCCGCCCCCTTTTCTCTTAGCACCGCCCACTTGCCAATCAACCAAAAGCCCCGCCCACATTCCTTTAATGCGCTCTAAGCCCCGCCCCCTTTTCTCTTAGCTCCGCCCACTTACCAATCAACCCCAAAGCCCCGCCCACATTCTTTTAATGAGCTGTGAGCCCCGCCCCTTTTTCTCCTAAGCCCCGCCCCTTGTCAATCAAACGCAAAGCCACGCCCCCAATCCCTCTATAAACTCAAGCCACGCCCCCTTGTCAATCATCCCGGAAGCCCCGCCCACAATCCCCATATAAGGCCAAGCCCCGCCCCCTTGTCAATCAACCCCCGAAGCCCCGCCCCTTTCCGTCGAAGCCCCGCCCCTTTTTCCTTAATTGGCAGGGGGGCGTGGCCGGGGGCGGAGCTCTGCCTGCGCGCCCTGCGGGGGGAGGGGCCGGGGCGGGTCCGGGACAACGCGCTGGGGGCGCTGGTCAGACAGCAGGGGGCGCCCTGCCCGCAGGTGGGTACTGGGAGGGACTGGGAGGGACTGGGAGGGACTGGGAGGGGATTGGGAGGGACTGGGATGAACTGGGAGGAACTGGTTTATACTGGGAGGGACTGGGAGGGACTGGGAGGGACTGGGATGGACTGGGAGGGACTGGGAGG